ACATTCTACTTAATTGTCTTGAAAAAATAGAATTACACTTAGTTTACCAGTAATAGAGCATACGTATATCATTATGCAACAAAATAGTAATGTTACTATGTGAAAGTGCTGGCAGGAAATGCTTTTTGCTCTGTTTTTACTCTCTTTTTAAAAAGGAAAATGTCATTGCAAACTCATATAGCAACTCAATAGCCTTATTTTATATTGCACAGAAATCCTGAATCCTTGCACACAACAGTTTATATAAAGCACCATAAAAATAGTCCAAGAGTCTTCTGAAGTCATCTTCATATGAGGAATATTTAACAAAATTCTTTCAAAACCTTTCTATCTGCTGCAACTCTTGATTCTCCTTCTCGCCGGCACAAATTTGTACTGGTGCAATTTTTTAAACAGCTTTAATTTTCGTTAGTTGGAAAAAAAAAACCCCAGCATTTTTATGTTAAAATTTGTAGCAGTGAACTAAAGCCAAATGCTCATTTACAGCTAGCATGAAGATTTACACTGAATGAAAGTGTGAGCAATTCCATATTAGCATTAGCATACTGCAACTTTTTACATAGAAATGGTGAAGCACTTGGGTAAGTGTCTCAGGCTGAGCTGCAATCATTTGTGATGTTAGAAGAATCTCCCCCTACCAAACCTCGTTTTGGCACCTTCCTGAAGACAAACGTTTAAGCTGCTGTTCATCCAGGAAGAGACATGAATGCACATCTGTGCTCCTGTGAGATGTGAACTTCCTGCATTTATGCAACATGACAGAGCAAGGCACATAAAGAAATATGTCAGGGTCTTAGAGATTTTAAACGCTTTTGAGAGGAACACTTTCGGAAAGGCCCTGTGCATGGATCAAACCTTAAACACTTGTTAGTTTAGTGAGGGATCGCATTAGCCGTGCTTCCTAGAAGGTCTCCGACAATGTTTGCAGCACATGAAGAAACACAGCTAAGTATTTGAGAGCAGTTAAGAGGATGCGAAAGATTATCTATTCAAACATGGTCGAAACAGATTCAAGTGCATGTGCTTCTCTCACATCATTTGTTGTGTTATAAATTACGCTTCAAGGGAAGCAAGTTGACTTTAATGTGTCCAAGTTGCTCATTATAGGCAATTTTTGCAGCTTAATGTAGAAGAACCATTTTAAAAGTTTACTGGATGTATACAAACATAGCCAAGCATTTGATCGCACTTAAGAGGATGAAAAAGATTATCTGTTCAATCCTGGTCTGGAGCTCCAAGTAAATTTCCACCCCGTGTTCACCTGAATGAGCCCAAATGGTGAGAGTAATTGACATTCATTCCAGTATCTTGCACTTTTTTACATTTTTCCCTTAGAGGCTATGCATTTATTTGGTATGAGACGCAAATTGTGTTGACAAAGACGAAGCATTTCTAACTGATGTTTTCTGTTCTCAATTAAAGTGCACATGGGAATGTTGCACAATTTGAAGTAGTTCACTGCAAATGCATATAAACATTACAACAAAATCGTAATCAATACACATACATTCTCACAGGCTCTCTGGGATAGTCACGTAACTCTTGCTTCAGTATGAGCACAGCAAATTTTTGGTCTCAGGCAACAGTTGTATGTTTTTATGCAATGTTTTTTTAATTCTTTGGTGCTGCTCACGTGGCAGTAAAAATTACAATTTATTTATTTATTTATTTTTTTTATAAGATTTTTTCATTTAAATCAAATTAATGTATTGTATTTAAGTTCAATATTTTTTGTGTGTTTTTATGGGATTTTATGGTACTAAATTAAATGAATGGAATAGTTAAGTAAAAAATAGGGAAAATAGTAAAAAAGTGAAACAAAAACATTTATTATTATGAAAAATGCTCAGAAATACGTTTTTAAACATTTTAGATTAAATATAAGTTTTACAAAACATGTTTTAGTTGTTAGCATCTTTAGTTTTGTTCCAAATTTGAGGTTGATATCGCAAAAAATAAAATCAGTAAGCTTTTGTTAGGGCGCAGTACCAAACGTTTCCACAAGATGAAATACACTTACAGTTCATTCTGCTTTGCCATTCAATGCCAATTTTGACCGTGTAAATATTTTTTCAGGACCAGCTTTTCACATCATGTCCATTTTGTGTGTTTGTGTGTGTGTGTGTTCACATAGCAAACACCAAAACGTTTTGTACCATTAAGATACAGTAAACAAATTCTAAAAAATAAAAAAAAACATAAATTTATTTTGGTCAAGAATGACCAGAGAAAAAAATGACAGAAAAACACCAGAGGGTTGATACAACCCAAAAAAAAAACCTCTGTCACAGGCCTGTTTACATTTTAAGAGGCTGTTATGTTTAAATAAAGTGTATTTTATTTTGAACAAACACGCATGAAAACAGTTTAATTGCAGGGATTTTGCATTTTTGGCTTTATTTTGATTCTTGAATTTAGTGCAAATTTGATCCCTTTGTGTCTTGCTAAATGCCCTGCCAATGTAAATTGGATTTGGTTTATCAAATTTAGCTTATTAGCACACCTTGGAATTAAGCTGATTCCCTTGCAAAATTCTTTACTACAGATTATATATTTAGTACAATTATTCAGTCACAACTTCAGTAATGTGGTTGTTGTGAACTCAGCAACTGCGCAGGCAGAAAAAATTAATCTGTAAAAGCAATAAAACTGAGTAATTTTCTACGCCACTGCCTGTATGGTGACTTTGTCGTGCCGTCCCTCTTTTGAAGCGCCAGCGTGTAATTGCAGGCATCACCCCTGCCAAAAAGCAAAATTAGTTTGACTAACAGTCTCCTCTGAGCGCCGTGGGTCTGATTCACACTCCCTCATTCGCCTGTCCCTTACAGACATCAAGTTTTCAATCTCTTAAACAACAAAGGTCAGTGTTGATACGCGCAGACAATTGGCTGCAAACTTGTGACATCAATGACAAATTAGATAATTTTCTGTAAAATTCAGGTGAACTAATCTGAACTCAGTGTCAAATTATAAAAGATCAAACATTCCTACAGAACGAGGTCTTTTGTGTTCGTTTTCGTCACCAAAGTCTAATTTAAAACCAATCGTTTATGTAACAAACCAAGCATCCCATGACACTATCAACCACCATGCCAGGACCTCCCAAACCCTGCAGTTCTTCGAAGGCAAGACATGTGGTTCTGAAAAGATATAGAAACACCCAGGGCAGCGTAAAGTTTAGGAAGCACACTGGATATTTATTTTTATCAGACACTGATGCCAAATGGTCCTTTGATGTAGCAGCTGTAACCCTTGACTCTCTGCAATGCGTCTGTCTTTGTGCATCAGTGTCATCGTTAGTCTTCAGTTCCTGCACTTTGCACTGTAGTCTGTAGTTTAGTGTCCCTTACGATTTGACAGCTCTCGGTTTGACGTTAAGATGTTTTGCAGCAGCCACAGTGGCTCACATTCTCTCGTTAAATCAGTTTGATTTCAGGTGATCCCAGAACGCACAATCGCGACGTTGATCTGAAAGAAATCCTGAAAGCAACAAGTCAGTGTCTGGTTATTCAGGTAGACCTGAGAAGGAATGTGTACTTTTACTGATGTCTAGTTACGAGTTATGAAAAAGAATTGGTATCCTTGTCATACCAGGAAAGTGACGTATCTGATAATTGCCAAGTGAGGCCTGCTGCTTGCATACTGTTGAAAAGAAAATTGAAAGGCTGTTAACTGTAATTGTTAGTTTTAAAATAACCACACAAGATTATGGTAAGCCACAACTCTTACCTTATTTAGCATGAAAATCTGCACTAAATATCACCAACAGCTCACCCTCTTACTTGAAGCAATGTGGAAAAAGGCAATATTGTGTAAAAAGAATACAGTAGTTTACCCAAAATTGAAAATTCTTTTTTGTGAGACATAAAATGAAATAGTACACTTTACACACTATAAAAAGTGGTATCCTGTAATTGTGACCTTAAAGAGCTATTTCTACCTTATTTAACCCATGTGTTGGTATAAATTAATATATTTAGGTGGATTCACTGATATTAAATATTGTTTTTGACTTGAATAAAAGCCGTTAATTTAGATTTGACCATTTTTAGGTTACCTTTTTTCAGTGCAATTAGCATTACATTTGTTACAGTATTTGTTAATCTTTATTAACGTTAAAACATCTGTTCATGTTAGCTCAGGTCTATTACATAATCGTAACATACATTTTTATTTTAATAATGTATTGGTAGACTTTAATAATGTATTGGAAGATGTTGAAATTAACACTAGTTAAGATTAATACATCTTTGAAAAAAATTTGTTTTTCATTGTATTTTCATTTTCATTCACTGCTAAAGTAGTGTACAGTAACTAACCATTACTGGAGAAATCAAGAAATGTGCTGGTAGTTTTTTTCCATGCTTTTACAATTAATCCTTCAAGGGGACCCAAAAGAACTATAAAGTATCATAAAAGTCTTATAAAAGTTGACTTGAACGCTGTATGTTTTAAGTGTGTGAAGAACAAATTGAAATGTAAGTGGTTCTTGAAAAGCTCTAGTCCCTATTAATTATAATTGCATAAGAAAAAATGTAAGTACAGAAATAAAAGTTAGACAGGTGAATAAGTGATTTTATTTTTTCTTGAATCCAGTTTAAATAACCTTTTATACCACCACGATATGGTGTACTCTAATGATGCTCCAATGATTTAGCAGACTCTGCTTTTGCACTTTGTGGTTTCTGTTTCATGGTATTGTGCTCCATCATGAAACAGAACGTACACCGTGCCAAATGGATGTGCCAGCCGCTCAAATAAATGTGCCAAAAGGGAGGCCCTACAAACACGCTCATGTGCATGTCACTGCAGGCCATCTTTTACCGCACACCCATTAACTGTGTGCCTCGATGGCATGCAGATATGCTGGAGAAGTGCCACCACTTATTGTCAGGAAACAATGAGCTTCATGAGAATTCAGTGCTGTCACAGGACCAAAAAAAATGAAAGTTGATTGCTTTTGTTTGCTACCATGCTTATAAAACTGTCTTTCTCCACAGATCTTACAGGTGAATCTAGTGATGTCCATCTTGCTGTACGTGATGTTCCTCGCGTACCTCTATGGTATCTCAGCCTCTGCGATGGACAAGCAGCGGCCCACGCAGGACCCCATCAACACGCTCATCATAAAGCTCCTGCAGGCCGACATCAGCCGCAGCCGACAGAAGCAGGATGACGCGCTGCCTTCCTCCACCTTAAACCCACCCGCAGTGACGGACTACAAGGAGAACATCAGTGACCAGTCCGTGACGGACATCTCGACGGAGCTTCTGCGTCAGCACAAACGTTACAACTCGCCTCGTGTGCTTCTCAGCGACCGACCTCCTCTGCAACCGCCACCGCTTTACCTCATGGACGACTTCGTCAGCAACCAGGACGGCAGCAGCGCCAACAAGACGCGGCAGAAGCGAAACACTGAGCACAAGAGCTACAGGGGCGAGTTTTCAGTGTGTGACAGCATCAGCCTGTGGGTGACGGACAGGACCACTGCTGTGGACATTAAGGGACAAGTGGTCAAGATTTTGGGGTCTGTCAATGCAGGACGCACAAATATCAAGCAGTACTTTTACGAGACGAGATGCAACACCGCCAAGTCCCAAAAGGGCAGCTGTCGGGGTATTGACGAGAAGCACTGGAACTCGCAGTGCAAAACCTCGCAGACTTTTGTGCGTGCTCTCACTCAGGATGAATCGTCGGTGGGATGGCGCTGGATACGAATAGACACCTCGTGCGTCTGCGCGCTCTCACGCAAACACCGCAGGACGTGAAAAACACTGCAGCGACTTCTCCATTGTCTTTTTTATGTTCCCTGGGGGGGGGGGCTGTAAATATATAAATATAAATTATTATTTAAGTTATATGGAATGCATATAGTTTATACATGTTTATGTATAATGTATAAATATACTTGTTATTTATTTAAGTTGTTTGCAAAGAAAAATCTTTAAAAAAAAAACTTAAGATAACATGCAATGCCGCTAATGCCGAGTTCACACTGCACGATTTTCAAAGACGTAGCATCACTGTTGGTTTCACAGTGAACGACTATCTGGGGTAGCATTCAGTTGATGCTGTGTTCACACTGCACGATGGAACGACGGCAGGAGGTTACACACTGCATGACTTTACAATAGGAAGATCTGGTCTATAACTCCTCCCCGAACTTCCCGTTGCCCTGTATCTTGGTCTCTCATTGGCTGTAGGTAATCGCCGATGTGTTTTTCAGTCAGAACTCATTTCACACAGCGTAATTGTGAATCGCCGACGGCTCAAGATATTTAGCATGCCAAATATTTCACAGGCGTCGGCGACTCCCTCAGATCGTGTCTTTGATAATTCACACTGCGTGATTGTCACTCGCGTGAACGAGCACCGATTTGCCTCAGATTTCGGACATTTGTCGGCGATTTCGCAAAACCTGTTGGCGAGTGAAAAATCGGGCTAAAATCGTGCAGTGTGAACTCGGCATTAGCTACAGGAGCATTGCATGCTGAATTGTGCCTTGCTCACGTATCAGAGTCAGAGGACACGTCACTCCATTAGACCTGGACCTTGGGAACAGTTGCAATGGAAAACACAGATCACTCAATATCATATTAACTTCAGTATTGTCCATGAAAACCAGTTTTTCTACTGAGACAGGCTGCCCGTATATCCTCTTCATGTCTGGGAAAACTAATCACAGTTGGGATGTTGTCGTATTTTGTTTGGAAATGTGTAAACATACAGTATATGTGTATCAAAACTGCATGAAATACCTAAGAAATATATATTTTTCTAAGCACTCCTATTAGTGGTTTATAGATGCAGAGACTTGTGCAGAGAGTCAATCCTAGCAGAACATATGGACCAAAAAGTGACGGTTTAGTGTTCCACAATCTGGGCAGTATGTTGATTCTAGATGGCCTTCTGAAAGTGTTTAACATCATTTTAGAAATTGCCTTTAGTGCATTCCAACATAGCCGCAATAAAGTGGGAACGACAGCAACCAAGTATTAACTTTGAAGCGTCCAATGATGAAATTATTGCTCACCATTGTGTAGCTCAGTAGCCCTGAAGAAGCTCCTCAGCAAATGGAGGAGCAAAGACTCCTCCCACTAGCCATGCCCTTTTCTGAAGCCCCACCCAGTCTACCAGAAACAACCAGAAATAAGCTTACTGCACTTTTAGTCTCTTTTCGATCACCTGCCATGATCAGTAGCAACTTGACCACCTTAAAGAGCGAAGCCAGCATGCATAAGAGCAGCATGTAAACAAAATGGGCCGTCGCTAATGACACTGTAGCCTTACACAGAGGTAAAGCTGCCTTAAGACGATGTGCATACGTGCAGAGCTGGGATTTGAACACGTAATCTCCCCCTTAAGAGGGTTTCGCTCTTGTCAGACTCATCTTAGGAGATAAGCGTTTCACTGGTGCGCTGCGGCTAAAAAAAGGCCTGCTGTGTTTTCCCGCTGTACTTTATATAAAGAGACTTGCTCAGTCGCTAGTCATGAGACACTAATGTGAAGAGATTTCAGTAAGATTTGCGATACGCAATGACTTACACAAAATGTGTCAGCCTCTTCAACAATTAACATGTTTTGTACCCCTTCACATTAAATATGATGTACCCAAGACAACACGTTTGTCAGCAAAGCATATCTGAGCATAAAGGCAGCATTTGCGGTCATTTTAAGAGCATTTTAAAAGGCCAGGCAGCTGCGGCTCAGCTTTTGTTCAGGCTTATCTTTGTGACGCATGACCCAGGTCACCTTTGATTGGACAAGCCGTCCAAGTGTCCACAAGAATCCAAATTATACCACCTACATATCATATTTACTTTTGTACCGGCATATAAAACTTGCAGGATAAGCCAGGATGGGGTCCAAACCCATTACTACATCAAGTGAAGTGCCAAGACTTCGTCCTCCAAGGTCCGAACATAAAGCTTTATTAGGATGAAATCGTATTATATTGTGGCTATAAAAAGATCAGTATAAAAAATTGCTTTATTGCTTTTTAATGCTTCATGGGTTGCTGGATAAAGGCACTTTTAAACAAGCAAAAGTTTTCACTTTTTTGTGGCTGACGACTCTGTTCGTGACCTGATATTCAGTGCTTGTATTGGATGTGAGGTTGTGAAACAGAGAAACAGGGTGTCGGCTCAGATTCGAAACAGAACCGCAGACCACCAAGGATACAACACACCTTTTTCAATCTCTGATTAAGTCCCGCTTCAGTATGGCCCTCTGCGGACAAACAGGATAAAAGCTGAACACAGGAACTCCGTTTTCCAAGGATGCTGTTGGGAACTGGCCCACACAGTTGTCCAAATGCATTGCCTTTCCTCAAACACACATTATTACACTGGAACATGAGGATCCCTAAATGATTTTGACTTCTTGGATGACATTCACTGTTGAAAAGCCCTGCTGGTGTCATGCATACTGTGTAGGATTCTTGCTGCTTTAAACCACTACAACTGACCTTATAATGGACCAATGGCCATTGCTGAAACCCAAGGACAAGGACTCCTTTATGCTGAAATAAAACTGTGCCAAAACACACCAAACTCTATTTAAGGACTAAGATATAAGGAAAATATTCAGACATGAAAGTTATCTCCGGTATGTCAAAAAATTGAGAAAATTGCAAGACAAATCCCTATTTTAGTAAAGGAGAAAGACTCATTTGCTTGATGGTCATTGTTTAGTGAAGTAGTTTGTTTTGGCTGTACCTATAACCCATTGTTTGTATTTTTTTTTTTGAAAGAGAGACTTTTCCCATAATGGCAATGTTTCTCGAAATTTCTTTCTCGTGCTGATACTTGAAGGAGCGCTGTTTATCTGGCCTACAACATCCTCCTCTTTTCGCTGCAAGGGCAGTCTGTGTGAGATTTGTCTGAATAAAGGTTTTTTTAATCTTCCTGCTGATTACGTCCTTTTGGGAATCTACGTGAATATTGTCATCTGTAGGGTGAAATGTCGCTCTTTGTATGTTAAACATTTCAATCACAGATTACCGGAAAAGAACCCAAGAACCTTTCCCAGCCCCGAATCATGAGATGATCTGTGTGTGTTTCTAATCAAACACTGATGGTCTCTTCAGAACCCAAGGAACCATGGGAAGGCGCATAGGACTAAACAACCTTCAGTGACCTATAAATACATTCGTTTGCCAGAGCCCACAGGAAGAAAATAGCTCTGGGCAATGGTAAATTAGCATATAATCCTCTTGCGGTGTGTTCTTAAGAGCAAAGCCTGAGACGGAGTGATCTTGAAAAATCACTGCTGAAAAAGAGTTAAATGAGGTGAAAGGACAAGCAAATGAGGCTAACAAATACTAGTGTTTGTTTACATGTCCATATCAGAGTCAATATTGTGAGAGTAATTGTGATTATCAGATACAGTGACCTTATTTGACCATTTGGACAAGGCTTACTTTTTAAAAATGCGGGAATGTTAGTGCATTAGATAAAAAAGCAAGGCGCATCTGAGCTCAAACAATAATGGCTTTTAATTAGCTGGTGTTCTGATGGTTTTTAGTGGATGTTTAATGTGTAGTGTGTAGTAATTTAATGTGTAGTTCATCATGTTAATTGTGGATATTGCAAAATCAGGAAGTGTCAATAATGTTTGTCTTTTTCAAACCTGTATATACATGTTTATAGTTTAAATTCTAAAGGTGAGAACAAAATTTGAACTAAATTGATTGCTTAATAATGAGCTAAAATTTAATTTGTTATATAATTTTACAACCTTAAAACTTTGATTTGATGTTATTGTCATGTTTATTAATGTGAGGCAGCATTGAAATAATCTGCAACTTGTCAGTCTTTGGCAGAACACAAAAGAAGATATTTTGAAGAATGTTTTAACTGTTTTCGTTCACACAGTGAAAGTCAACAAATAACATTGCACTGAAGTACAAGTATCCAAGTACTTTTGTGTTTAAGTGAATAAACTCATGTTTCAGGTTTTAAAAGTTCAAAGTGATGTCAAAGTGATGGTTTCAAGCCTTGACCTTCACACCTAAACCACAGCCCCTCTGAAGGCTATGGTGGTTAAAACTAGTAAAACAATCCAAATACCTTTCCTCTGGCTAAAATATGCAACTTATACACCTCTCCACAACAGACACCTTTATCATATACATTCCTGGTTCGGTTTGCTGCTCACGTCTCTGGTTTCTGCTAAAGTGCCTGTCTGTGGTGTCACACCACCCACTTTATGTCAAACACATCTCCATCAAATACAGCTTTTGAACCCTATATGCATTCCAGAAGAATCATCACCAAAAACAACTCAGACCTCATCAGTCTTATGGTTTCTTCATTATGGCATGAGACAGAGAAGCTGATTGTCAATCAGTATGGAACAAAACCGCGTTCAGAAGTGTGAAGGAAACATATTGACATGGGACAATTCAATTAATCAAAAGTGTAGGGACAGTGGGTTTTATTAGCACCAGTGTGGTTGTTTTAGCAGCCCTGTGTAGAAATAACTATGATGTCTTTTGTATGCCGTCAGAGTATATTACCATTTGCATGAGGTTTACCAGCGCAGAGAGCAAACGAAAGGAGAGCGCAAAGAAACTGGAAGCTTTTCAGTCCAGGTGAGCTAGCAGAGATATTCTCATCCAATTGAATTTCACAAAATTATGCAGTTATACTAAAGCAAGAGACAGAAGGAGATAAACTAGCATTCCTGCTTACATTTGTGCAGTAATTGTGTTTAAGATACCGTGAAAATGGGCTGATGGTTGTAAAAAAAATTATTTTTTTAGAGTGCACATGATACAAAATGAACTTAAAGTCAGTTTGACTGTGAAAAATGTAACTTTTCTGCTTATTTATTTTTAGGATGGCTCATGCAAAGAGGTTTTCTCAAATCCCCATGTCTAAGGTTTCTATTGCAATTTTTTCATGCATGTTTTGTCTATGAGGATATAATTGACAGATTCATTTAAAACCTTCAGCAAAACTGCTAAACTTAGTTGGAAACATTAAAAAAGGCTAAATTATGATCTCATCATGTGCATTGTCTTACGATTCACTCAGTGCATGCGAGATCTTTGTCAGTCTTGGGAAGCAGGATGAGAGTCTGGAGGAGAGCACATGTCTGGAGAGCGAATGTCAGGAAAAGCAAGAAGAAAGGGTAAACTTGTTTACTACTTTACATCTCGTAAACCTCCAGAAGTCTGTGTTTAATAATGCATACCGACTTTCATTGCACATCTCAGCTGTTTTCTCTGTTCTGCTAGATCCGGCATCGACAGGAGCGCGAGCAGCTGGAACGAGAAAAGCAACATGAGATAGAGGAGCAGCAGAAGGTATGTTGACTAACATCAAAAAGTCACCGCAGGGCTATCGCTGCCGTCTGCAGTGATAACACTAATTATATCTGTCTCCAACACCCACAGCTTGAGTCTGTCCAGGGACGACAGACCTGCTTCATCAGACTTACATTGTCAGGCTAATTGTGCTTGATTGCATTACGTCTGCATTGTTCCTAACTTTGGCTGCTCATGCAGTGACCTCTGTATTGCATGGCCAGGTTACGCAGGTAAACATACTAATGCAAGAATTTCTGCTTAAAAATATTTAAAAAATAGAACTTTGGTAGTCTATTCAACTTTATTCAGGTTTTTTATGGCCATCAACCATCTGACTGACATGTCAGAAAATATCACAGAGAATGCATGGTTTTATCTAGTATTTAGGAGTGTGGTAAATAGATGATTCAACAAAAATACAGTCTGTGTGCAAAATAAATTGGCGCCAGATTCCAAGAACATTTGAACAGAAAATACTGGGACAAATCTGTGGAAAAGGTCCAATTTGTGTCCATCCAAAACTAATACTGATTATTTTGGGCAGAAACACAAAGGGGAATATACAGCTCAGCTTGTCAGCATCTGCTTTTCACGCTACTAAGTAACTCACATTTAGCTAATCTCAAATTTAAGTTACAAAAACCATAAACAAAGCTTATACTTGCATTTATATACTGCAAATATTGCTTATGATGTAAGTACCTTTGAATGAACTCTTATGCTAAATGAATAAATGTCTGTTTCTGGGGTTCTCAGAAGCTTAAGCCATCATGGTTGGTTAAACCTTTACATTTATGTACAGAAAGTACAACAAATAGAATTTTTGCGTTCACATTTGCCCAAATAGCAAAAGAAAGAAAAAAAAAATATTTTTAATGAACAGCATTTCCTCTTAAAAAGAGGAATAACAAGAGATTGATTGTGTTGATCAGAAGAGAGAAAGATGTCAAATATTCCATCATTCGCTTTGGTCGTTGTATTAGAAACACTCACGCAGCAGCGTTAACTAATTTTTTTAACATTAAAGTATTTAAATGTACATTCAATTTTTCAAAACGGAAAACTTAACAAAAAACTTTGCTAGATTTACAATGTTAATATCTGTGAAAACACATAATCAGTCTTACCCTTTAAAATGTTGATAAACTATGCAACCCAAGCTTGCAATTTTGCACTCATGTACGCGTTTTACAAGAAATCTGTGTTCAAAAATGAGTAAAAGAACTGTGGGCAGTTTCTGGGCATGAAAATCAAGTGTACCGTTAGTTCTGGCAGGTTACATTAGTCGAGCTTGAATCAGCTGACTCTTAGCTGATCCTCGTCTACCTATAGGCATTCCATGCCTATCATGACATTCTTATATAAGGTCTATTCAGTATAGTCTCACATAGCCAGACCTTCTGACTGACGGCAGAAGTCTGAGAATCATGGCCACTTGGAATGGCTTAGGACCACCCAAGAGGCCATATGACTGACAGGTAAAGCAACCAATCACATTTTGTTTTGTGCCGTGTCATGTTTAGGGGCGTGGAAATGTCCCCACAATAACACACCAGTGTGTAAAACTCTGGATGTATATGCTGCGAACTTTACATATTTCACATACTTTTGAAAATCCAGTGTTTAGTTGATCCTGATAACAGTTGCCACAGTTTCTGCTTCCATGTGGGGGTTTGGTGTCACAGCATCTTAGTTTCCAGGTAGAACGTTAAAAAATGTGACACATCCATCTCTTGGAAATCTTTTAGAATTCAACAAATCAGATGATGACTTTTATGCTCCTGAAGTGTTTCCAATTTTGTGTACCATATGCATCAGACATTCAGCCAAAAGTCTGTGGGTGTGATGTCTGAGACTGAGACTAATTCAGTATTATTCATCAGCTTTATCGTTTTGCTCAGGAGCTAAATACCCTCCTCCATCCCCAGCTCCACCTTTTGTGCACAGTCAGGACTTGGTCTTCTGATATTGAATCAGACTCCTTTATCTTATTTGCCAAGAACAGAACAATAAAGCCAATCCAAACTCTATGCTAATAACTAAGACTTCAGATGCAAGATGCAATGGTTCAGCACATGCTACCGTTTAGCTGTTAGCAGGACGCTCAGGGAGTGTGTTTGTGTAAGTTGATGAACCCCCAGCTGCACATGGTCTGCTGCCAGTGAAGTCCAAGACTAACAGCCAAGTGTGAGGTCACTGAAGGACAGCCATGTTGTTGTTGTCCACTTGGCTGCTGTCATAAATTCAACAGCTTGAGGAATTCCTGCAACGCCTAACTCAGGGCTCGCTTAAGAAGAAACCCCAATGGGATCAAGTTCAAAAAAGCGTAATTGCTCTTCCTTTCTTTGTCAAGTCAGTCAAATAGCCTTAAGCTCTGCCGTTTTAATTCCTAAAGGCTACAAACAGACAGTCCACCACTCTCACTTCCTTCCTCTCCAGCTGCTCGAAGTCTCCCGGCGAGTTTCCAGGTTTGCAGCACGTCCGTCCTCTGATTAATGTACAGGAGGGTCAGGGAGAAGTGCTTACTCTTCTTTCCCATGTGCGTACTATTTGATCCTGTTATCATTCATAACCTACATCCCCCAAACCACAGATCTCATCAGATAACCCCACCCTCTGTGTGTTTGTGAGTGTGTGTTTTTGGGAGAGAACAGTCTGTGACTGTTTCAATCCTCTGAGGGAAAAGGTGTTACAGTCTGTTTTTTCTCTTACTAGTATGAATAGAAGGCGATGTGTTTCAACGTCTTCCATATGTTGAGTACAGCTACGTTTACTGCCTGGCCTATAGCTGTGATTATCACTTTAGAGACAGGAAGTAGCACCCACAGAATATCTGACTGAGCCTGTAGAGGTCAAAGGTCAAGCCAAGCCTCATTCCTTCAGCCCTACATCAGGGTCTGCCTCACCAGATCGGCCTTTAGACACACAGGCTTGTTTCTAAGTAATAAGGGGTAAAAAATAACATCAGATGATTTTGAAATAAATAGCTGTGTAATTTCTGATGAAGATCAAACCAAGTTTATTCTTTGAGGTCTATTATGCAACCTTGCATCTCAAAAAATAAATAAATAACATAAAATATGCAGATTTGCATAAATACCTATTACCTAATTTGATGATTCTGTTCAAATAAATTTCCACATAATAACAAAGATTTTTTGCATTATATATATTTTTTGCTGTATATATATAGTTAATGCAATATATATCTTCAAAGAAATTATGCAAAATAAGCTTTTTTGAAAAAAAATCTGTCATTTTCTGTCGTTGTTTAGATGTAGTAAAACAGTCACAGATATAGCAGAAAACATCTGGGTTCTTTTTTTTTTTTTTTTTCTGTCACTGGCCATAATTCTAACCTTGAAATCAGAATTAGGCATAAAATTGTTTTCAGAAGCATTCATACATATGAACATTGGCTAAGAATTGAGCAAATAGTTGTAATCTGGCTTAGAGGAAAATATATAATGTCTTTGTGGCAGTTTTTCTGTGATTATTAAGAAACCATCATGATATTGACATTATAACCATGTTCATATTATCATATAACCAGTCTGATTAACATTAATGACTAATCAGTAATTAGCAACATGGAACACCCCAATAATGTTAAGAGGTAAAACAATCATAACAGAGGTTTTGAATATTATCTTAACAGTGCAGTAGAACAAACATGTAGTTTATTTCCCTGGGACAAAGATGATGGAAAATGGTTACATAAGGCTAAAATTGGTACAACAATCCTTGACTAACATTATAAGTGGACAGCAGGGTATAAAAAGAAAATGCTACAAAAATACAGCTCCCTTAATGTTATTTATGAAATTAATGGTTTCATAACAACAGCCTAATGTCATTACAAAGCTGCATGTTCCTCTTTCAATAGGCCCACCATTACACTCTTGTTTTCAGCATTGCTTAATAATCAAAACCCTGTTGAGAACTATGAACATGCTCTGTGTTTGTATTTGTGTCTGTGAAAGGAGAAAGACAAGCAGTGGAAAAGCCATGTGGCCGAGCTGGCGGTCCAACGCAAGGCCATCCATGCAAAACTAGACAGACTACGAGAATTTAGGGTGCGGTTTGACTGGACACACATGCCGATACACCAACACACATATGTAGAAACCCTACTATTGTTCCCAGGTACAGATGTGAGGCCCAAAAGCAGTATGACTGAATGTGACCAGATGTCTAATGCAAAGTATGCTAACCAATACCATACGTGCCTGACTTGCAGCAATGGACAGGTACAGATAACATCTACAGACACCAAAAAATCCTCATGATATTTTCATAACTTCAAATTCCAAGTTTTAAAACGAAACACTATTGCAACACATTGACTAAAGGAGAAAATGGTCCGTGGAAGTGGACAAACCACAAGGCATGTCCGCTTGAAATCTTCAAGCTTATAGGAAGTTCACTTACAATATATCTTCAAAAATCATTGTAGACATTAATGCATCTCTGTTTTCATTTCCAGGACTTTCAGAAGAAAGTAGTGCTTCATGATTTGGGTCTGGATCCAGGTTCTGAAAATGAATCCGTCAAGCAACTTCTGATGAGACTGTAACTGGGTTTAGTAAATAATTAAATAATTAAAGAAATGTAGCATTAAATTACTTGCTCACCAATGGATCCTATGCAGTGAATGTGTGCCTTTAGAATCAGAGTCCAAACAGCTGATAAAAACATCACAATGATCCACAAGTAATCCAGTCCATCATCTTTAACATCTTGTGAAGTGAAAAACTGCGGGTTTTAACTTCAAAACATTGCTTCTGGCTAAATCTGTCCATAATATTGCTTTCTCCAGTGAAAAGTTGTCTTGTCTGAATCAGGAGAGAAATATGCGCAGATCAAGCACCATTTACAAGAGAATACGGTTCTAAACAAATATGTGAATGGATTTTATTATGATGTTATTATGGATTATGAACTCATATTTTGGTGAGAGGTGACAGTTTAAAGTTAAAAACATTGCGTCTTAGCGATGGGTTTGTTTCTTACAAATATGCAGCTTTTTGCTTCACGTTAACTGACGGACTGGAGGGGTGTGGGTTACTTGTGGATTATTGGGATGTCTTTATTAGCTATTTGGACTCTCATTCTGACGGCCCCCATTCACTGCAGAGGATCCACTGGTGAACAAGTGATGGAATGCAACATTTCTCCAAATCTGTTCCGATGAAGAAACAAACTCATCTAAATCTTGAATGGCCTGAGAGTGAGAATTTTCAGGATATTTTCACTTTTGGGTGAACTATTCCTTTAACATGCTATCAAAGTCTTGAATGAGTTATATTGTTATGTAGTGATCATATATCTTTAGAAGATGTGTTAATATTTAAACCTAAAGCAGAAAGTGTGTATAAAATAACATGAGTGAAATCATATCTCTACCTCTTCTTTAAAGGCACTAACTGGAGTGAGTTAGAATAGAGTGAGTTATGGCTACTTCAGTGTTCAAAATGATTAAATAACAAACTCACTGACTCTGTGGCAAATAAATTACAGCTAACAACTTAATGTGTGTCACATGTCCGATCTTATATTGCAGCAGATGACTATAAATGGACAATAAATCGCATGACTGCGGTGAGGAGGGAGACCTGAGGAAAAAAAAGCGAGACAAACAGATGAGCTCAGATTCAAAAAGAGAACAAGAACCAATTAATTCTCTTGCCTTTCAGTGTCTTTTATGCATCTTTGGTGATCTCCAGCACAAAGGGTGGTGATGGAGAGAGACAGCTGAGAAAGGAGAATGCAAAAGAAAGGACAGAAGAGAAAGAAACAGGTGGTTCCAGTGGTACAGGTCTAGCATTAAGGGAGAACAGCAGAATCGTGTTACAGCATGTCTGACCCTCCAGGGCAGGAAAATGCCACAGTCTCCAGTGTCACACATCCTTGCATCCCAGAATTCTTTTCTGCACGCCACAACTCTACATCAGCTCAATGTGCTCTGTTGTGTTTATTTCGTGACAGGCACACTGAGTATGTGTAACTGGGCTGGACAGCTTTGATTAATTATCTACCCTTAATGTGCACTGCAAAACATGGAGTCTTTTCCAAAACTAGCGCACCAGTAAATAGTTATGGGCAATTCATCCCATCATACTGCTGCATTCCATCCGAAATGAAACATCCATCCAAGAGTAATTCCCTTTTGCATTCCCTGCCAGCTTTACCACTCATCCATCTCTCTAAACTCCAGTTCATTTAGCATATTAAATGTTTCTAAGCAATTTTGGCTTATTCAGCACTCATTTTGAGCCTTCTCGGCTATGACCCTTCATTATCATAAATATAATAAAAAAGTATAGATTTAGGGCTATGTTCAGACAGCATACGTATATCTGCACTATATACAGTATGTACTGTGCACATTATGCTCACTTTCCGTATGCATGGAATACCTGTAGACCTGCTTAATTTGCAGATAGATAGATAGATAGATAGATAGATAGATGATAGGTCCTTTACATGCATTCACATCATTCACTAGATGGCACAAGCTGATTGGCCTCTCCTGCTGATTCTACAGCCAATGAGATTGCTTGTTCAAAATTTGAATATTCTGGTTCAGTGTTTGCTAAAAGTCTGGTCCTGCAGCCACTATCAGAGGTCTTCTGAAATTCAGCACCTCAAGATAAGTGAACTTACCTTTTATTTTTCTTAAGTACAAAACATATTGTGTGGTCTGCATTTGTCAGTTCCTAAATGCAGCAAGCAAACACAAGGTTTAAATCATGTTTGATGTTTTGTGGTTGTTTATGTGATGCAAGGAGTGAATAATAAGGCATATAAGCAAAGCTAGCATGAGAATATAAATTTTGAAACAATAACGACAGCAGCAAGCAGTAACACAACCACCACTCCTCATTTTTTAATCCCTTTTAAACCAAGGCTGCGTCCAAAAGCCTAGGCAGCTGACTTGCTGCCTCGCTGCCTTATGAGGCATTGACTTTGCAGGCAGCGTTTTTGCACGAAGGCACCGCGTGAAACTGATTTCGGGCAGGCTTCTGAGGCAGCATAATGGTTTAATGATCTACAACAAAATAGAACGAGTTTTGATGATAACTAAACAAATATTTAATTATTATAATACTGATTTCTCGCAAGAAATAACATCAAAAGTGCAAAAAGTTAGTCAGAAA